GGTTCTCGTCCCGTCTCAACCTCATGACAATGGCGTGACAATGGCAAAGACGAGGCCTGTATCGGGTCTGAACTTGAACAAGAAGTCTTAAGCCAGAAGGCACCTAGCCGAAGCCCAGAACTCAATTCCTAAAGCCCCGCTTCCTGCCGAAAGCAACGACACTCCAACGCCCCCCCCCCCCGACACAGTTTCACTGGGACTGCCGCGGGCATGGCGATTCGATGTTGATTGTCATCATGATCAACATCATCCTCATCCTCACCATCGTCTTAATGGCATTTGATGGTTCTCACCATGAGCCGTTGGACTTTGAAGCTTTGCAAGGGATCCTGCCTGGAGCCCCTTGGCCTTGGGCCGGCTCCTTGGAGGCGCAGCGGGCACGGTAAGGGTTCGATATAAGTGAAGGGCTCTGCAATCAAGGGGTTTCTATAAGGGTTTCTGCTGGCTTGTATGGTTTGGGGGGCAGAGTCTGAAGCTTCATTTGGAAGCTTTGAGGCCTTGGTTTGAAGAATGGGGCTTTGGAGCCTTCGAATTTATGTGGTTTGGAAGTTGAGGGGCTGGCTTACAGGCTTCGTCTTGTTGCGGAGTTTCGACTCAGATTCGCCTGACGGAGATGTGTCTGCACACATTGGCATGGTGTTCGTAGATGTGTTGTTTTGCTGATTCAAGAGTTTGGGCTGCCCTTGATCGGAGAGCCGATGCAGGCATGGAATCGGCCCAGTCAGGGCAAGATCGGCAAGAGTGGCCGGAGGCGGAGCGAGAATATCCTGCACTGCCCTGCACACAAGAATATCTCGCTGGCTCGTGAACACCTGTCAGAGAGCACTGCCATATGCGGGGCCAAGTGGATGATTGTCCGGGAAATGTCGACATGCCAACGTAACACGGCTTTTGCCCGAAGAACCCTCAAAGCACTAAGGCATTGAAATTATCAAACGACGTCCTCCAGACTCAACGAAAAACACATCTTTCACGAAGCCACGACATGTCAACAGCGTAATTAAGGAACCAGATGGAGCTATCATTTAAACGCTACATGAGGGCGGCGCAGCCCTGGCACTCCGAACCGCGCCGAGCCATCGAGCAGCAGCTGTGGGGAGCTCGGGCTTTTGGGTTGTTCTAGAAAGCTGGAGGGTCCTGCACGCTTTGGCCCTTGGGTGTATGCTTAGTGAATGCGGATGTAAGGCGCAATCTGTGAATTGGGCGATAGTACGGCAGCCAGAACTGTGCTAGCCTCCTGCAGAACTCAGCATCAAAGCTTGACAGGCCTCACTTGTTGACCCACGAAGCACCCAGCAATGACGGCTCCTGATAGCAATCAAGCAGCTCGAGGCAGAAGCTCGATCCAGCCGTGGCCACCCCTCCCTCGCCTTGGTCATGAACCCGGTGCGGTGTTGGCTTATCGTTGAACTGTTCTGTCTTGTCGAGATCTTCTGCCCCTCATGATGCTCCAATTGGGTTTCTGTGCATCCCTTCACTGGGTTGGCGAGCACAATGGCTCATGAGGCGCGGGAGCTGGGGATCCGTCGCCTCCATGGCAGCCTTGTCTGGACCTTACGGCGTAAGTTTGCGCCCGACTGATTTGGTGACCCTATGTGATCAGTATGAATGTTATGGGGCTTGGTTCCTTTTATTTAATTGATCGCGTGGCCCTCTTGCCGTGCAGGGTTTCGTCCGAATGGTCTTTCTGTCATGGTGATGAGCGATGCCAGAATTTCCTCCCTCCTCATCCTACTACTACTTGTTCAGGGCGGCTTCATTTTTACAAGGGGGGGGGGGCGGGGGGGCATGCCGTAAAGCCGGGTGCAACATTAGGCATGGCGTGTAGAGACTGAGACAATGCTGCAAAAGGCTCAGATGGGCTGCTGATGAAGCAAGCAGGTTAGATATAAAAAGCACTCCAAACCTAAGCTTTCGAAATCTTGAGGTAGATCCTGGAATGGCGCCAGAAGCAGGCTGGCTTCCTTCTTGTGAATCCTCCCAGCTCTTCTGGTCTGCATGTGGGTGCAGCGCCGCGGCAAGCAAGTACATCGAACTTTGCTTTGATGGCAGGCTCTCTTTCCAAGTCGCCCTGCACTCAGTCTGACTGGTGCACATCGCTGCCAAGCACCGGGCTCTTAGCCACGCTAGGGAATCAAGCGAAGACGGAGCTGCCGACGGCGACCAACAGAAGTTCGAAACTGAACAAAAGACAAAGATAGGTCTGAGAGATCCGCGAGGCGTGGACATCGGCTGAGTCGACATCAGGGCAGGGCTTGGGCAGATCGACGAGCCAGGGACTTGCTAACTGCCATTGGAAACTTGCGCAACAAGGTCCATTTTGAACGAGTGGAAGTGCATAGCACCCAGAAAGGTATGGTGCGGTAGTTCCCTGTGCAAAGAACTACCCTCTTTTTTCCAGGTCCGCGAAGGTCTTGGCATGGCTCGCTCCGGTGACCAGAAGGGGGCTCTGGAGTGGTACTGCCGGCGCAACTGTTTGATGATTGCACAGAGCTGGCGTTACTTCTAAATCCAAGTTGCTATTGCGACATTCATAATGTTGGAAGGGTAATGTGCAACAGCATGCAAAGATCGGAGAACTGTCGACTGCACAGTAGTTGCAGCAGTAACCATCACTGCCGCCACCAGCGCCAGCAACACCAGTGCTCACATGAACCCCGTTATCATCAAAGCACCATGCCATTGCCATCACTATCTGGCACATCGCGATCATCATCGGCATCACCATGATCATCTTCATCGTGACCATCATCTCCTCCTCCTTTCCTCCTCCCCATCATCATCATCATCATCTCCTATCCTCATCCTCCAACTTAGAATCGCGCAAGTATCGTTATCATCATCCCCCATCGTTTCATCTCATTCTTCAGTTCAGAGTGATGCATCTTAGAATTACTGCTCGAATTCCTGCTGGCTTGGGGTTCCTGTTCTTCAGGTGCGTAATTCAACAGCGGAGATTCACGTATCAAGTTGGGAGAGGTCCCTCTCCAAGGTCCCGATTCCAGTGGCTGTCGAACTGGTGCTGGCTGCGTGTTACGCCAATATCTGCTCATCACGCCTTTCAAGGCTGAGTATATAGCACCGCGACTGACTGGCCATGGGAGTAGCATGCAAGCTTTTGGCAAACCATGTCGCTTAGGGACTGAAGACATGCAAGTTGAAGCTGCTTGCATTAGCCTGTGTGTGATTGAATTCGTCATGTTAGCAGCCCGACGCTGGATGAGTGTCCGTGCACCGCATGCAGCGCGCAGCTGGCGGCGCTACTTCCAGAATTGGTTCTTGAACAGTGAAAGAATCGTGAGCTGGACCCCAGCTTGCTGCCAATGTCCAGTGGCGAAATCGTGAATAACTGTCAGAGGCTGTGGGCTTGACTAAGCGACTCTTTCCGCACCCACATGTCATGTGAGAACCGACCAGAAGGCTACCCCTTCGGGTACTGCCACCGATCCTTGGAGCCCAGTTTGGAGCCTTCCTGGGGTCCCTGGAATCCAGGTTTCAGGGGCTCTAGAACTTTAGTGCGATTCGGGGTCTGAGAGTAGCGGACACGGGAGAGGATGAATGCTGGGCTGAGGTGCTTTGCCTCCACACCTTTGGAGGATACTCGGCTTCGAGCGCCAGTAGAAGCCAGTAGTGAGTGCTCAGAGAATGTTTGGCCGCTCCTGGCCTATCATTGCTACCCCCGCCTTCTGCTGAAAATTTGAATGAACGGAGGATTTGCTGATTTCACAGCTTGGGGTTTCAATTCATACACTCTGGTGCTTTAGCCGTTGACGGATGGTCTCTCCCGCAATTACCGCGGCGTTTGGAATCCACGGCCCCACTGACTGCCCTCCTCTGGTGGTCAAAGGCCTTCGCCGAAAGCTTGGATGCCGACAAGCTGGTGAAGGACCTTTGTGACTCTTCGGGGCATTTAATGGCTTCTTCTTGCTTCTCGGAGATGTGGCACCAGTACCTGTCGTGACTTTGCGGCGACAAATCACAGATCTTTCGTGCCTCCGGCGGCCGAGGAAGCTCACCCTGTCTTCATGATTTCCAAGCAGTGGCTTTGCTGACTAGCAGGTCATTCATGTAGAGGTGCTGACAGTTGATCAATGGAGAGTTGTATGTGATCGAACGAGAAAGGGGTGCTTGTCTGCAGCAGACTTGTCCACCGTAGCAACATACCAAGAACGTGCAATCGCAATCTCAGGGCTTGCCCCTTCTGCAAGAGGGCGAAGACCTTGCTTGCAGACCTAGAGGCCATCATGCAGCGAGCGAACATGATATGGCAAGCGCGTCAACTAACATGGTCACCTTGGCACCAGATGAGCAGAACATAGGAAGCATGCAAGGGCCACTTCAAACTGACCAGAGAGCATGCCATTGTTGTGTTTCGTGTATGTTTGCTTGTAGCAAGGCCTTCTTTGTCGCACAGGTGCTTGGTCTTGCAGGATTCAATCTTCGGTGGAACTCTTAGTTGAAGCTTTTGACTGCACCGGTAGGCGGAGTTCGTCTCCCACGAGCTGGATACACTTCCTGGCCCAGCCAAAGCAGCGCTGCAGGCGTTGCAGCCGGGGTGAAGTGGCCAACAGAAAAAGAATGCCATAGATCGATGGTAGCAGAGGTCAGCATCAGTATCACTGTCACTGCAGGACTTCGTCTTCGCGCCGAGATGTCAGTATGTCTCGAATTGTAAGTTCGATTGGTGTAATCAGTGTAATAAGATGATCTAGGCCCAGGCCGTGATTGGCACAGCCAACACAAAGACAAACATACCGTCAGCACTAGAGGCTGTAATCTCCACTGACCTCTGCTCGTGCAGAACAAACCTCCGCACAAACACTGGTCATAGACTGGGTACTTGTGCAACCTGCAGCATCTCGAAGACACTTTTTGGCTCAAGCTCATGTCCCCCTGAATCTCCGCGCGGCTCCGAGTACCAAGTAACGCCATTGGGTATCTCAGCGGCGGAAGTGACGACGACTGAACTGAAATCTTGCAGCCGAGAGATGACTTCTTTCATGGGCACCGTCCTTGGGGACTATGAGATTGGCGGATTCTTGGGCCGCCCGGTGGGACGAAAGAGCTGTTTGTGTGAGTGTATCCCAAGAAGTTAGTAGGCGTCGCTCACACATCACACAACGAAGCTAGTCACAAGGACGCCTAGTTTCAATGCTGTCGAAGGTAGAAGTCCCCGTGCTCAGGCCGTGGCCAGTTTGCAAGTGTCAACATGGCCAAGCACGTGAAGACTGGTGACACTCTTGCAGTGAAGATCATCAACACGAGCCGAATGGACCCAGCCCCGACCTCAAGCTTGGAAACAAATGACATTCTCACTTGGCCTCTACACAACACGACAGATGTAGACGAGACAGGGTGAGGGCATGGGTCCACAGCTGGCAAGCTGGTCTACTGCCTAGCCCCGATCATGCATTCCATTGAAACATTCGCAAAGCTTGCACAAACCGTGTTGCCAACACTCAGACATGCCAAAGTCTCTCAACTTCGCGGTTGCCTCTTTTCCCGCAAGTCCTATCAGCAGTGGAACCGTCGTAATGCACACGTAAATGCGGGATCAGATTCCGGCGCAACATAACACGTGTTAGCCGGTCCTCAGGCCAAGATTCAGCGTGAGATCGACAACCAGCGTGGACTTCGGCACCCGAACATCATCCAACTTATGGAAGTGATTGCTGCTTGCTTTCACAACAGAGATTTGAGAATCTGTGGGCTCGCAAAACGTCAGAAGCCAGAGCACCCCGGCGCTTTGGGAGCACAACCTCCATGCCTGAAGCAAGTCCTACAAGTAGATCACGCTTGACGTTAGTGCATGTTGGTGCGCCACAGGAAAGTGACGGCAAAGTCTTCGTCTTCATGGAACGAACCTCATCTGCAGGGGAGCCTTTCTTTCCATGGAAGATGCTTTGCCGACTGGCTTGAAGTGTTTGGGCGGGCCAAGGAGGTACAGGCGGTGACCTCTTTGAGTTGATCATCGCTCGGTGCCTCGCTCCCTTCGTTGAGAGGCGCGAGGTGACGCCCTGGAAAGGTTGAAAAAATCCCCGGCTCAGAGTTAAGCACTGCTGAGGGGTACACCCGCCGCGCCAGTGAATTTGGGTTGGCCATGCATCTCATAGCAGAACGCATACCACGACGAGGGCATACCTGCCAATGTTGGACAAAGCTGTGTTTCCCGGGTTCTGAGCCTGTCAGATGACTTGAGATGCGGATTTCAGGACTTAGCCAGAGCACAGGCCGTCTACGCAGAAACGGGAGCACCCTTCGGGATGACGAATCACACATGTGCTGCATGCATGACGTGATTGAGCTGCTGAGGAACCGGCTCCAGGACAAGGAGGCGCGATGCTATTTCCGGCAGATCGTTGATGCAGTGGGATTTTGCCATCGGAAGCTATGCCTGGTTTGATCTGCGAAGTTCTCCACTGCCGGGCTCCTTTTTTTGTACCCGGTTGACGGAATGCCTATGGTTAAGCCGATCCTTGCGGCGAGGCCACCACGAACGAAATTGGAAGCCACCACGTGCAAGACTCTCGAAATTGTATGGCCAAACTGATCCCAGGAATTGCGTATGTCATCGAGATCTCAAGCCTGAGAACATCTTCCTCGATTCCAATGCAGCTCTGAGAGATGTTATGGCTTTGACATCATGTGCAGCATAATTGCTACTCCAGCCGAGCTTGCCCCATGTTTCAGAGCTGCACCTGCGCCAATCGTAGCAACTAGTAGTGCCCAACTGCTGCAAATATTAGCTGCTTAGCTGCTTGAACCGTCCACGAATGTGCTTGCCACTCCCCAGATGAATATAAAGCTGGGGGACTTCGGACTCTCCTCAAAGTTCGAGTGGGGCAGCTTGGATGCAGTCTGTACTCATCGGTGTATTCCCTAAAGCCCGACAGCCAACACCTCACTCAAATGACACTACTGAGGAATTCCTCTGACAGAGTCCGTAGGCTCGCCGAACTACGCTGCCCCTGAGCTGCTGACGCTGGGCTTGAAACTCTGAGGGCTCAACAACACGAGCATTGTTCTCAGATTGGTTCAGTAGCTGGACCCTCCTTGTAGATATCCCGCTGCAGAAATCGAGGACTGAGGTTTTAAAGCTTGAGCGCACTAGTCAGGCTTCGACCGAACTCATGGATTGTGGTTAGGAAGCAGGTTTGGATCTAGCAACGCTGATCTTGGGAAGCTATTGTGAGCAGAGAGTCGGAGACGGGGCTCCCTTTCAACTGCTCGCATCCTTTGTGAGACACGACTGCAGCCTCCTGACCCCGATGGGACCGAAGGCAGCGCGCGTGCAGCTACCAGGGTCCCGAGGCCCGCGCCGAACATCGCCTTGAGCCGTCACACTTCACTGGAGTATCTAAGGGCTCGAACGATTTTTGCCGTCCGTGTTGTTTCGCATCTCTGACGCAGGTCGACGTTTGGGCTGCTGGCTGCGTGCTCTATGCCATGATTACGGGGACAGAGCTCGCCGTGTTGTGAGAGCAGGTTGTCGACCATCGTCCGGCAATGGTGGCATGTTAGTTAGATTCAGTGAGGACATGGGGGGGCACGGCTTCAAGTGGTGAAGCAAGACCGTGTCAGTGCCGGCAGCTGCAGGACATTACCTTTTGATGCAGACCGAACCGATGCTCTCTTCAAGCTCATCAAGTCAGGTACATATCGACACTTGGCTGCCGCGATTTAGCATCAAGGTCTGTGTTTCACTGCGTCCCGTGATGGCTCTGAGCATCGCTGCAGCATCCGAGCCGAATAGGCTTGTTGCGGACGATCACGTACTTTGGTGTTCGACTATGTCCCATCCGTCGGACCCCTATACTACCAGCACTGCACACGTTTGCAGGTATGCCTGGCTACGTCTCAGCGGAGGCCAAGGACTGTTGGGTGGGCGGAGGATTTCGAGGCACGGCTTCAGGGGCCTGAACTGATGAGGACGTCATATCGAAGATGCTGGTCATTGATCGTGAAGCGCGAGCTTCCATGGCAACCTGGTATGTGCACAAAGCCATGTAGCCTGGGCTTGGACAACAAATCTTCGACCCTGCAGAGAAAGCAAGATTGCACGTGAAGCTGCCGGCGCATGGATCTCTTGACTCTTCACAGTTACTGTCTCGAGCTGGTAATAATACATTGTCGCAGATTTAACCCATATGCAACACGAGACTTCACAGTCTCAGTGGAGGCATGGTCCAGCTGTTCAGTTTGCACGGTTACCCCACATTGCTTCCATTGATCGGACGTCTAGGACGTAAACTGTGGCACTTGCGTGCCCCCCTGCCTTTACTGTGAAAACGTTGAACGCAGAGGCAGAGATTCGAAGCCACTGCTGGCTAAAGGAAGAAGTGAAGATTCTGGTACCAAACAAGCAAGAGGTCAACGTGCCATGGCAAGCAGAGCTCAAATTTCGTGATCTTCTGCTAGTACAGAGACACTCCCCCCAAAACCAATTTGCCGTCGAGGAGTCTGTCGACCACACACATTCGAATCATTCGACTCTGCTGGCAAAGATGCTGCTGGCGGGCCTTGCCCAGTTTGAGTCAGGAAAACAAGAGATGAAGCAACGGGTCAGGTCACGGGATGCAAGGCTGCAACGAGTTCCGATGCCAGGCCATGGCCGAAGGCACCCACCCGGTCTCTCACAAGATCCGCTCCTGTCGCAGTTTTGGGTCGGAGCCCCAGTCTAAAGCCCACAGACAGGGCCAAGTGTACTCAGTTTGGGCTTGAGCTGCTAGTGACCACGTCAGGCATGTGACCGCAAAGCGCAGAGCCAGCCAGAGCCGCTTGGCTCGGACGCCGTGCATGGGGAGTTGGGCTTGTTCGATTCGCGACCAGAGACCTCATTGAAAAGGCCAAATGTCTCGTTTGCTGAGTGCTTCGTTGATTTTTCAGCTCGAGGCTCCACTTTTGGTCTGGCTCGGGCTGCATGCTCCATGGAGTCTGTTGTGACGATGCCGGCGTGCTGAGCCACGGGAAAGAAGACCCCGTGTACCGGCATGGAGAACTGAAAACATGCTCAAACGCAGTGCACGAAAGAGTGACATTCCGACCAGCAATCTACAGGTTTAATTGTTACAACGGCACGTGAAGGTAATGCCGGTGCAACGACCGTGCGTCATTCCCGCGTTTGCCGGAGGCATTTGCAACAATGATTGTTTGAAATCATGAGACTCACGGCTGCCTTGGTTTGGGGCTGCATCTGAATCAACTTTTGCGAATTGGAGCGACTGAAGCGCTGGCCGTAAGTCCAAATCCGATTGCTTTCGGGGTGGCAGTGTTCGTTCATGGAGAGTGATGATAGGTAGGAGCCACAAACAGAATTGTCGATGACGATGGCACCAATGCTGGCCAGAGTGATGACAAGCAATGAGGCAGCGACAGCAACAACCGGCATGATCATGACCATGGTGCTGATGATGATAATCATACGATTCGCTTGGATGAGTTCCCAGCTGTTTTGGAAGCCGTGTGGGAGTTTGTTGACGGCGGCTGGCCGGACGAAGCATTTCGTGCCGAGGGCCGTCCCCTCAAGGAGTCCTAAGTGACTCCTGACCCGGGTGAGGAGAGGGCCAACAAGAAAGGGAAGAACAGAGACCATAATGAAGGGATCTAGGACACGACTGGGAGTGCTTTTGTTGTAGTTGGTCCGCACCTCTTCTCACCCTAATCGGGAATGTCAGGGCCTGGAGCTCCGGGCTCCGGTTCAATCGACCTGTCATTCCTGCTAGGCGGTCATGCCGGAAGGCTGGAGGGCGCGTGAGTTGTTCCAACAGCACTTGAGATTATGCAGCGACCGGAGACATCTCGTCAAGATGTGCTACTACTTAAATGATTGTCCGAGGACCTCTCCTGGCAAATACTGCTCCCTCCTGATGAGATCGGCATAACGAATCGCCTTCTTTGATTTGGGCTTGCTCACGCTGGGACTTGCTCACGTTGGGAAGACACGGGGATCTCCGTAATCCTGATAGTTTCTGATGGTGATATTCGTAAATGGTTAAGCCCCCAGTAAAAGGACGGAGGATCCCACTCGGCATGCCGCTGGTTCCTTGCACCTTCTCGGAGAGGCAAACGGAGCGGCATGTGGCTCATGGCGTCGCTGCTGAAATCGCAGTGATGGTAAGGCCGCTGATTTAATTGGGTTTCTCCTCGATGTGACCCCAGCCGTCGTAGACTCATTGCAGCGCAGCCGGGTTCAATACCAATTAGTCAACATGTGCGTGCTGGGAGCACACTCAAGGTCACCACAATCCTGAAAGCTGACGAAGCACCTTGAGGTGCCCAGAAAAGGCGCTTCGATGCTCGCGAGGGTTGCAACCGGCCCTCGGCGGAGCAACGCAACTCATACACCGTTGAGGGTGACGGTGGTTTTCTACCTGTGAAGGTGCCCTCCCACTGGCATGCTCTGTTCTCAAGCTCAAGCTTGACAGGCAATTGAGCACAGAATCCAAACAAGAAAGCAATTAAACGGAGTTCGGCTCGCTGCAGAAGACAATGCCGGTGGGGCAATTCAAGAAAGTGTATTGCATGCTTGTGCAGTTTTGGTTGGCGCACTGTTTCATCTCCGCAAGGCTCTATTGTGCGAATCCAAGCTTGTCGATCAGAACGGCAGATACAAATTCCTTTACAGATCTGTCCGTCTCCTCGCTGGAGGCTCGACCTTCAAGTGGGAAGGACGGAGACATACTAGGGGACCTCCAAAATTCTGTGTTTCCGCTTCAGGAAATTCACGGGATTCGATTCAAGGATGCCGGCTGATGCCGTCGCGACCTGGAAATTTTGCGAGGTTCCTTGCCCAGTCGCTCCTGTGGCATGTACAGCAGCTGGAGCAAAGACACTAACCGCAAGCTTCGCGATGAGGAGCAAAATCTTACAACCAGCTCTAGCGGCACACCGTTTAGGTTTGCAGGTTTGGGTTTGGGATCAAGCCTAGATCAGTTTTTTGGAATCCCGCGCCTTCGAACTTTTCAACCACTAGCAGGCTTCGGATCTACGCGTTCTTCTTGTTGGTCCCTGCCTTCCAACTTTCGTTGTGATGTGTGCTCTCATCATGACTGGCGTTTTTTGTATTTCTTGTCATCCCACATTGTTGTCATCAAGTCGGTGATTGCTAACTAGTCAAACCGCTGCTGCGTTAGGTTGGGCTACTAAAACGACGGTTGCAAGTCACAACTCCCCCCCGCTGCGCCCGAAACCACAACCCCAGAAAAGCCCGGCTGAACCAACCACGACACCCCAACTCCACAACACCTCCCAGTGCTGTCAGCTCTGCCGCCACGGTCTTATTCCTTTTGCCAACGAACTAGAAATAGACAAGCAGTACCAGCGACTTCTAGATTCAAGGCAGCTCCAGGTTAACCAAGAACCGAAATACTGTTGGAGAGATATAAATCCTGCATTAGCTTCAGTACCCTAAACTATGGGAATTATGGTATATTTCTCATTATGGGTAATGAAGGATTTATATCGTATGTTGCTTGTGTGCTCACACTTCTGGCGCAAACCAAAAACCTGTCAGGTCCTCCTTGTCTCGTTGCGGTTCTAGAGGTCCGCTTGGCGCAAACGCCCTGCAAAGGCCCACTTCAAGGCCACCACGGGTGCGGGATCCGTGCCCAGGAGCCGCAGGGGAGCGGCAGAGTTCAGCCATGGGGCTGGTTTAGGGTTTAGGGTTTAGGTGTTTATTTAGGGGTTTAGGGGCTTAGGGGTTTAGGGTTTAGGAGTACATGTAGGGGTTGTAGGGTTTAGGGGTTTATTTAGAGGTTTAGGGTTTAGGGGTTTATTTAGGGGCTTAGGGGTTTACGGGTTTAGGGGTTGATTTAGGGGTTTAGGGTTTAGGGGTTTATTTAGAGGTTCAGGGTTTCGGGGTTTATTTTGAGGTTTAGGGGCTTAGGGGTTTAGGGTTTAGGGGTTTTGGAGTGTGGAAGGTTTGCCGGTTTGCTGAAAGCTCGCGGACCCTCTCCACCCAGGATTTTCATCAGCGGCAAATGTGAGGGTGGATTCAGCGAGGCGCAAGCGACAATCGTGCTGTGGAGAATGCAGGTGCCAGAGCATTAGGCTTGGATGTTGAATCGCACGGTCTTGGTCGAAATCTTTTGCCCCCAAGTGCAAGGCCCGTAATTAGCTCGAGCATCCCCTTTCTCTGACTCTATGCTGTCCCACCTCTCTATCGTGATTTCATGCTCATGCAGCTCGACTCCCAATGCGAAGTGCCGAATCTGAGAATAAGATGGGGCAACAAAAATTTGTCGCCGGACTGCGCCGGCCACGAAACTCGTCAGGTGCTCGTTGAGGATCCCCCCTACGGGACGTCTTAGCTGAGGATTGGCACTGTCGTCGCCAGCTAACTAGGCTTTCTGCCACCACTAACAATAAAATGAAAAAAATACTAATCACAATAATGAAGCGCCACGAGCAGCAGCAGCAGCAGCAGCAGCAGCACCAGCACCAGCACCAGCACCAGCAGCAGCAGCAGCAGCAGCACGACCACCACCACCACCACCACCACCACCACCGCCACCAGCACGACGATGACGACGACGACTACTACTGCTGCTGCCGCTACTGCTGCTGCAACTGCTGCTGCTACTGCGAGCACCAAGGCAACAAGTGCTCCTAGGGCTGCTACGAGTATTGTTGGTCGTGCGAAGGTTCAGCACAAGCTGTGGACTGGTCAGCTTGTGCCGGCCCTGCTGGCTGCCGGGGCACTCTCGGAGCCCAGGGGCCGGGGGTGTCTCAGGTTCAGGGTTCTCTGATCTCCGTGCGTGCGTGCCGTGCGTGCGTGCGTGCGTGCGTGCGTGGGGGTGTGTGTGTGTGTCTGTGTCTGTGTGTGTGTCTGTGTCTGTGTCTGTGTCTGTGTCTGTGTCTGTGTCTGTGTCTGTGTCTGTCCGTCCGTCCGACTGTCTGTCTGTGAGGGCGTGCGGGTTTGCCCCTATCGCCTCCGTGTAGCCTTGCAGAATCTCGGGTCTGTCTCGACAACCGGGGTTCTGCAGAACCTTCGGCCATGCACAGGTGATTGGCACTTTGTCAAGTTATGCTTTTTTGCGGCTGGCGATTAACCTTGACGCCCATACCGAGTTCTTTGCAGCAGAGGCGCATTGACTGCATGCGTGATGCGATGCAGTGCGAAATCTGCAAGCTCCAGCTGCTCCTGCCGAAGCAATCCAACTCCGTGTCGTGCATCCCATCGAGGGTAAATACCGCCCCGCCTTAAATCCTGCATGAGGTCCTATCCTGGGGGCGACATCTGCATGTGCTGCACCTTGCCAGCGAAGAAGCTGGAACGACTAACTGCCACCAGCCGCAGCCGGAAGTGGCTGACCAAAAGCAGCAAGTTAAAGGTTCACATGAACCCATCCACTCCATTGCAGCCGGGGCGCCTTTCGTGGCCAGAGTACTCTTGCTGGGCGGATCGCGAAGCTGGCGCAGATGAGATAAGACCTCTCCAGCACAGCTTGGCTCTCTCGATCGCCGGGTGGGGCGAGGGCCGGAAGACCCGAGGCCTGATGCTGCCAATCCGTTTGGTTCTTCCTGAAGTCGGGATCGTGCGTGGCTTCGGAGACTTGGGAGCCTTAGTCTCCAGCCACAACTTGTCATGCAACTCTCAGATCTGCCAGGTCCGAGGTGCTGATGCCCAGCTGCTTCCCGGTGTTGTCCTTGAAGGTGAGCCAAACCTCCGCGTGTTGGACATGGTTAAGACACTGGAGCACCCGCTGCAGGCTGTGGAACTCTCTGAACAAAGCGCGTTCTGCTTTCATTCCCTCCTGCCTCCGCCCACTCTCTAGGCTTCTCGTGGACTTCCAAACCTTCAGGCGAAGAGTGTCACTTTTGTGGGGCTCTGGAAACGTGTTTCTCTAGCTCGAGGCGGGGTGCCCAGCAACCCGATGGCAAGCTTCAGAACCTGAGAAGCGGCTGCCGGCTGCTTGAAGGCGGGCCTTAAATTGGCATGTTGCGAGCACGAGACGCTCTACGGTCACCAGGAATGCTGGAGGATGCCAGAGGGCAACGCACAACCGCACAGGCTGTCGCTGCAACTCTTTGGCCTTGCCACGTCTCCCCCTCGCGCTCTCTCGCTCCCCACATACAACATGTGTATATATGCATAATATATAGATGTAGGTTCTTAGATGTAGATGTAGATGTATATTATATATATATACACACATACATACATACATACATACATACATACATACATACATACATACATACGCACACACATACCTACCTACCTACCTACCTACCTACCTACCTACCTACCTACATACATACATGCATGCATACATACATACATACATGCATACATGCTACATACATACATGCATACATACATAAATAGTACGAAAGGCACATTTATGGTCTGCTTGACGCCTTGATTTGGTTACTAAAGATAACAATACGTGAAATATTAATAACATACTTAATCTAAATATGTTTTAGTTGTTTTGATTATTTCAATTATTTAAATAGGGGGGGAAATCCCTAGATGACGCTAGGGATTTATATTGTCCAAATTTGGGCACCAACAATATAAAATAGGTAAAATATTTAAGTAGTAATTAAACTCAGAAACCCCATCGATTTAAATATTGGGCCCCAAAATGCTTACTATAATTGAAACATTGAAATAAAATCCGGACTAATTGACCTGTTCTAATTATTTTGATTATTTGCCTGTCCCTTCCCCTCCCCCCCTCCCCGGCCTTCCTCCGGCCCTGCCCCCCCCCCCCTGCCATTCCCGTCCCGGCCCCTTCCCCTTCCCTCCCTTTGCACCCCTCCTTTTCTCCCAACCCCCCACCCCCTCCACGTCCCCCCATTTGGACAAAATTTGCTGCGATTGACGGCGTCCTAGTTTGATTATAATAACCACGAACAATTTAATCGCAGCAAATTTTGCCCAAGAATCCGTTGGCAAAATTTGCTGCTGTTGGCTGTTTCCTAGTTTAGATTTTACCACGAACAAATCAATCGGAGCCAACTTTGCCCAAGAATCGGGTGGCAAAATTTGCTGTCATTGGCTGCTTCCTAGTTTAGATATAACCACGAACAAGTCAATCGCAGCAAATTTTGCCCAAGGGTCGGTTGGCAAAAACAAAGACATTAAACGTGCAAGGTGTTGTGTAAGCCATTGTCTCCCCTCAACAACAAAACACAAAAGGCTTTTTAAACCCTTATCGTCTTCCAACAGCAAAACATGTAAGGATTGTTTCCATAAACTCTTGATCTTCTCCACATTTAGAAACGCATTTTAGTAAACCGGCGTCCTCCGCCAACATTACAAGCATAAGCTTTTTTGTAAACCCATGCTTCTCCTATCATTGTTGTATGTGCTACATTATGAACAACATTCCTACTATGACACGGCTTGCTATGATGTAGATGGCACCTGTTGTCCATGATTACCGTTGTTCAAATTGCTTCCTTGTGCTTGATTTGCTTATGACTTAGTACTAGCACTGGTATTATCACTATAAGTCACAATGATGTGAGATAATTAAGACTAACTGCTAATCGTATAGATTGCAGTTGTTGTTGTTGTTGCTGCTGTGGTGAATGAAAGGCCACGTCCAATGAGGGGGACATTGCTTGGAGTTCAGCACCCTATCTTCTTCGTCATCATACCACTTCCCCTTCATTCAGTCATTATGTTCTATCTCATCTTCGAACTTTCTCGTGTCGTCTTCATCGTCCACATCTCCGTTACCTCTGTCAGATGACTCGGTGTTTATTGTTGTTCCTGTTGTTGTTGGTGTTGATGTTTTTGAAAAGTAAAGTCCGACTGACACGAAGACATGGATTATAAGAACAGACAAGGGGGTACTGCTTGCGACTGACGGCTTCAAGTTCGAGGGAGAACAGTGCTTGCTATTCAGGATTGGAAAAGGATATTCGCAAGAAGCTCCAATATTCAATTTGTCTCGTCTCATTGTCACCCTCAACATCTTCATTACCTCCATCATATGGCTCCGTGATTGTGATTGGTTTTTGTTTTTGCTGTTGTTGTTATTGTCGTCGTCGTCGTCGCCGCTGTTGTGGTCTTGTTGCTGTTTCTGAAGAAAGGCAAGGTCCGACTGACACGACAACATAGAATACAAGAACAGATACGGACGACACCACCTGCGATAGATCATACCCTATCCCCCTCCTTTGATATCTATGACCTACCTCCCCTTCCTCCCCCAAACAAAGGTGCCAAACTTCGAACCTTCTCGTCTTCATCATATCTTTGTGCGGTTGTTGCTGCTGTTGTTTTTGATCTTGCTGGTGTTGGTGTGGATGTTGGTGTTGTTTACCCCCCGACTAATACAGGGGCCTGGGACTTAGAGTTGCTGCTAGTGCTGAAAAGGCTGGAAACGTACACACACCAAGCAAAACAACTGGATGTAGTATAACAGTTACTGGCTAGCGATACATTCTGATCAGCATTCACGGCAGTATATTGTTTGTTGTGATGCTGTTGGTCACTTCCTGTTCATTGCTACCGTCGCTATCGGTTGCTGTTGGCGGGTTTGATGTTGTTCCTGATGTTGTAGATGTTGTTGCTACTGTTGTCGTTTGCTGCTGTTGTTGGTCACGGTGCTTGTAAACGGGCTAGAGGTTTGGAGTTGATGCTACATTTGGAAGATTGGAACTGTGCTCACACCAAAGGAACGACAAAGACCAACTTAAAGGAACGGCAAAGACCAACAAACACAGAAACGCAAAATATATACAACTTCAAGTACAAGTATTGCAAACAACACATATAACAAGCGACGATAGACAACACTCAATAACAACTTCAGGAAAGTACTATTTCACATATGAACACATCAACAGCAGCATCCAAAAATACCATGAATGATCGTAATGATCATTATCGTTCTGTTAGATTACATACTGTACCTGCCAGCTTGCTTTTGATCCGATCGGTGATTGTTGTTGCTAACATCCCCCTTCCGGTTACATGAAAGGCAACAAACGGGATATCATCTAAGACTTAAGATATTTGACACCTCAAGTATGGATGCCGTACGCCAGGCCAAGCTTCTGAAAGAAATGGAAATTCGATTTTAAACAATTTATCAATGTCGGTCCAAGTTAGTTTGGATTTCGGCTCGTGCGATGTACCACAAAGTCATATACGATTTAGCTAAGCCTCGAGATCATTGTACATATAAAACCGTGGTTTAATAGACCCTAAAGGTATCGGTCTTATATGTATATATATATATATGTGTATGTATGTATGTATGTATGTATGTATGTGCATATATATATATATATATCTATGTATGTATATTTGTTTATATATGATATATTCATATAATTCATATACATGTAATGAACAAATACACAAACACAGACAGCACAAAAATGATATGCACACAAACCTACGTGCTCTTTAGCACAGTCGCGGTTTGGTCCAGCCTCTAAACGCAAGCAAGAGTCTCTATCCGCCCATCATTTTCATATGCCAGCTGCTGCAGCCTTAGGCGCATCAACTTACTTCTATCAACTGTGTTCCGGGGTGCCATTCTAGCCGAGCTTGGAACAGGCTGGTGATTGCGACTGATGCTCTAGGCTCTCGGATCTTGGTAATCTCGAATAAGCAGACAGTTGCTACGATGGCTAAACACAAACTTGATTCGTGCAGCGAAGGGACTGAAAATCCTTGCTCCCGTCTGTCTGAACGCCCAGAGATTTTGTATCTGCCGGGAGAAAAAGCGGGTCCAAGCCCATCTCGAGAAGCTGGCCGGTCCTGGAAGTTGTCAGCCCACACTATGTCACGATGTCCCGCTAAGATCTCAGACTCACATGGAAGGAGTGTAATTACGAACCAGGCCCTTCAACAGTAGTGCATGATCCCAGGAATTGGGTTAAAATACAGATGACTCGAAAGACAATACCCAGCAGGCTCAAGCCCAAAACAGTCCAAACCACAGGCACGTCTTCTCTCGAAACCTTTCATACTTAAACACCAGCTGGGAATGCAAGCGATCCGATAAGCCCTTGGCGGGCTAATCTCGCAGAGATGGGAGGCGGCCGGCATGGCTCTCGATCTGTCTACCCTCGATGTTTTCTCATACAGGAGCCAAACGGGCTCCTACAAGTCCGCGTTGTGGTCTAGCTTGACTGCTCGGCTACAGTTACAGCGGACCAGACAGGTATTTGCGGTCATACCTGCGCGCGCACCGTTGCATAGGAGGACCGCTGACAAAACCCATTTTGCCCACATTAAAACTGCGGAAAATGGCGACGGCAGGGATGCAGACTCATGGCACAGTCTGCAGTCTCTCCACCTCAAGTTCATGCTTGCGTGCATGAGGAGCATGAATGCAGGCTAGGCTGCCTGAACAGCTGAAAACTTGCAGAACGCTACACCTCAATCATATTGCCCAGCTGCAGAGGTATCGATCGACAGATTGGCAATGAGCTGCCCTTGCCATCGCTGCTGGACACCCACGCATCTTACGCTTGCAACTGGACTACATGGCGACGGGCGTTTAGTGCAGAGCATACGCTGCGTAAACTGCATAGATTACCCGCAGGCTGCAGAGTCCCCTGCCGCCCCTTCCACATCGGCAGAAGTTTGGGAAGGCAGGGCAAGCCTCTGGGCGACCCCAGGGGCCCCGGGGTCAAGAGATGGAGATGAATGGGCTTAGCAGAGTGCTTGTGCTTGCATTGGAGTTTAAAAACGAGGCGTGTTACACTCGCACTACCCCAGCAGCCCACCCAGAAGGTTCCCAAAAAATCGGAAAACTGTCGCCCGCCAACTACCCTTGCCCCCTGCCCGGGCCCCCCCTGCCCACCCGATCGGGTGTGTGTCTTTTGGTTCTGACCTTCATTTCCTCGGCTGAGTGGCTACCCCCCTTTCTGACTGCTTCCGGCAAGCTCTACCCCACCCCGGCGACCGTCGCTCTCATGCTAGCTGTTAAATCATAATTCACTTTTGGGCCACGAGTCGTAGCTCTGCCATCCGGTCTTCATGTTCTGCCACCTTGTTCCAATGCTTCTCCTGCGGAAAGGCACGAGCATTGTTGGGGCTGCAGGCTCTGATGTTGAAGGGAAGCGGAGTGCTAAGAGCCCACGATTCTGATATATTGGCCTGATCCGCATGGAAGGACTAGGCTCTGCAGGAGCCCTGACCCTCGCGCACCCAAAGTCCAAGCACCGATCTATGTTGATTACCGATACAAAACCTCGCAGTGGCCAAGGCGCTGTCAAGTTGTCCAAATGTTCACCTTGTTGATTGACTTGGGCCCTCACCTTTCGTGCAAGACTGCTTCAGGTGTCATAGCTGAACAGGTGAACACAGCAGTTTGGGTTGGCCTTCTCCATCAGCTCCCTGAGTTCAGACGTCTCATCGGAGAGGCCGAGCAAATCCCTCATCAGAATCATGCAACAGTGCTCCGAGCGTACTGGTGGAAAGGCGATGCGTAAGCGGGTGGACGCTTTGCAATCTGCTGCTGCTGCCGGTCGACACAAAGGCTGGTAGAGCCACCTGTCAGAGTATGCGACCGGGTCTCTGCTGCCGGCTTTGGTTGAGAGCTGCCACTGCATCGTGAGCCTGGCACGATCCAAGGAGTATTTCCGAGTCGTGTGGACCAGTGGACTGCAAAAACATGCCGAAACGCTTCGAAGCAGAAACGGGTGTCAGGGCACTAAGTCCATAAAGTTTTGTGTCAAAACAAAAACTGCCGCAACTCTCTGTAGGCGTTGACAGCAGGCCAGCAGGCCAGCAACAGCAACCACGGTCGTCGTTGTCACGCCGCAGCAGCAGGGCAACGGTAGAGTAGAGCACTGTCTCTGCCACCAGGACAACACAACAGAACAATCAGCAAAGAAAACATCACGATCAGGTACCGAGCCAAGGCACAACTGGCCACGGCCACTCTGCTACGCAAGGCAATTCGCATCCAGCAGGCGCATTCAATCCGTTGGGGCTACCAGACTGCGAGGGAAGAAAGCAAGGCGAAAGACAGGAACAACAAAGTCGCACACACCGCACATTCCAAAACAGTTGTGAGAAACCATCTAGTCCATGAATGTAACTCACTCCAGAAGTCTATATCCATGCGCTGGTACCACGGAATGATCTGGTGGAAATCAACGTACAAGTAACAACCTCGAGAAGACACACGCGATCGAGGCAATCAGGCTTCATGCTTGCAGTCGACCAGTGATATGATTCAAGTCCCAAGTCATGACTCCGATGCTGATCGGTCGCCGAAGCACAGCTCCGGCTACCGACACTGGGCAGCATGCATAGCAGGTAATGGCGGCCAACTCGAATTCGTCCCCCTTTAGATGCCACAGAATGCTGCCGCAGCAGCAATCGAACAGGAGCGGACACGTGCAACCGGCTGAGGTCCTGTGTATCCCCGGCAACACTGGAGCAGGCCTTTTGCATGTAGTCTATGATGCCACTGACTGACTCATTGACGGCCAACATCTGGCTTGCATGCCTCCGTTTCGCCTCATGTACAGCATGATTTCAAATGCTGGCTGCACTTGAGCAAGCGTATCGAGCCACCCCGACCCTTCCTGCAGAGTCTCCAAAGGCGAGAAGCAGCGAAAACCCAACGATGCAATGTATCTGCTATGGCTGCTGCGATTTTCCAAGATCTGAGTGTTCAACAACAGAAGCCGAGACCTCCTAACATTGTCAGCGTGACATGTACCGAATCTGAACTGCAGCCTCACGGCCAACAACGATCCTCTGCTGTTCGCTATGTCTTCGAGCAAGATTACCAGGGTGAGCAACCACCCTCTAGCACATTAGTCTCGCTGTTTCGACTCTGCCGGGGTGCCGCCGCAAACTCCATGGACAACGCCTGTCACTGGTACTTCGGCCAACTAATGTCAACAACTTTCAACTGAGTGCAGAACTACAATCTCAATTTTAAACTCATCACGATCCCCTACTGCCTGTCCATGTGCACCATCCCTCTGGACATCTTAGAATCTCGGCGCCTCGTGACTCTTCGACAGGTCTAACAGATGCTGGATGTCCTTCTCTCTGGAAGCCTGTAGCGCCTTAAGTCAACACACACAACTATTCGCATCTCAAAGTTTAACCCCGGATGTCTCTGTTTTCAACTCACAAGTGTGCACCTGTACATCGATTGCCGGTTTGCCTTGGCCTGTCCGATCCGGAGAAGCAGTGATCTGTTATTAGCACTGCCCAGCCGCATCAACTTGCTGGTCCACGCTGTCCAGACTTTCCTGCTATGCAGCTGGGCTGTAGCTGTGATTTCTTAGCTGAGGGCCGATGCTAGGTGCAAAATCTCCGGAATTAGACTGTTACATCGCAACAGCACACAGAAAGTATCCACATATTTACGGGAAGCATGCAGCTGTGTAGCTTGTCGAGACGCTGCTAGACAGGCCACCTCTACACTCTGCCGTAATATTTCCGTCATGACTTTTCTTGATGAGGAGCATTTGTCACGATCCGGTTACAGCGAGACTGCTGTTGCCAACGACTCGGCCCTCGCCCGCCTTATTCTGAAGAATTTCCGCACCGTGTGACTGCAGTGCACCCTGAAATTCGGTCCTGCAAAGTGTAAGCAGGTGCCAATTTTCAACATGCTAGATGGCATGGCGGCATGACCGTCAATTACAGGCCGTGACCGCGAGCATCCATATCATGAGGAATGCTGCTGCTACTGCAGCTTCTTCTGCAGTCGAGGGCATGAAAGTCCCACGTGCTTTGTCCTAGCAAGAACAAGGCAAAGGCTCCCAAGCGGCCTTGTGTCCTTCAGACGCTTGCCGAGGCCTGTCACTGAGGTCAACGAAAAAGGGTTTTTAACCTCTCTCGAGACGATGGCAGACGATCTCCCTGTCAGCTGCCTTTACACCTTATACTGTATGCTATTTCACCACCTGGCTCACGCGCTTTCAAGGTTAAGTCCTGCCTGAAATGTTTTTCGCCAAGCTCTCCAAGCTGTGGGTTTGATGACTCAGTTTTTCCTCTGCAGCTGTGAACTCGGAGCTGATGCGCTTCTGCGACTCATCCACAGACCTCGGCTTCATATCCGCGAGAGAACATAAGACAGTCCTTGCTGACCCAACCCCATCTTCAAGCAGACTGCCTGCATGTCAAACATGTAAAAGTCTTGTTGTATCGGACCTGTCAACCACAAATACAATAATTTTGGTAGACATTCCCAACCACATCAGACAAAGGAGCATTCACTGGTTGCATGCAGCCAAATGGCTCCACCTGACTGACCATGCCCATGACTTGCTGAGCGGTTTGCCCCAGCTTTGTCTCATCTTCCAACTGGACCTCGCCCAAGTACACGTGAAGCCGTAGGTGCAGTCTTGTTCCCAACCACAGGCTCTGCATGCAATACAAGACTTTCCGCAAACCTAACAGTGCTGGAACAAGCCAGAGGCAGTATGCTTTTATAGGGGGGCTCAAAATGAGGCTGCCTGTGCTGCCCCCCCCTTTCAACAGCAGGGTGGGCACATCGTCTTAAACTGCTCTCCCAGTAACAACCAGCAGATATTTTTCAGGATGTGACCATCTGGGACTTTTCCGGAGAAGGAATTTACAACAGGACGGAACCTGTTCACTCTCCACCGAGCCTCGTGTTGCGCAGGGTGACAGGGGGAATGGGCCGTGGAAGTCCTACTGTCGCGGGCTTCGCCTGACCGAGCTTGTTGATGGAGCCCTCGTGATTGGTCAGCTTGAGCTCGTCCTGCATAAAGGAGTGTTGCACTTGTGGTCCCCAGGAATGCGATAGGTGCCTGCTGCTGTGTTTGCAGGAGTCCGCTCAGAGTCCTAGGCTGCCAAACGGCGCAAAGCAACATGCCACAGCGTGCAACGAGAAGGAGGGCCAGCTGCCGCAGAACAAACGACTCATGCACCTCCAAGGCCAAGATGCTGGCCGGTCTGAAGAATCTGGGCTTCGTCAGTCCTCTGGTGCTGGGCGAGCTCACCGATCTCCAGGCCTTGCAGAGAGTTAGAGTTACAGCCTCACCTGGTGGGTGCTCTAAGCTACCGAGTGCACAGAGCAGGTCATGCAACTTGGCAGTGTGCTTAGCAGCGAAGGTGCGGTTTCGGGCTGACGAAGCACGGAGGCTTCTGTTCATGGCCCTGAGATCTCTGGTCATGCCGGACAAGGCGGAGGATTCCTGCTCCGTCTCGCCTTCCTTGGCTTTCTCCAGGCATTGAATCTGCCCCAGCTCAAAGAACAAGTGCTCCGCTACGCATCGCTCGAGCGTGCTGTGAAGACCAGCCCTGCTAGGTCTTCCCGCGAATTAGTGTCGAACCCTTTCAAATCCAACGATTTATGAGCTGATCCGTTGTCACTCATTACCCAAACATCCTCAGACCATTGAACTGCAGCCGCAGCGGCTAACTTTCGTACCTCGTTAATGAGGAGTTGTACGGTCTCGGCCTGGTTGCTCAATTGAGACCGCATCTGGCTCTGAGCCTCCTGTTCGCGAAACTGTTCCTGGCCGCTTCTTGACGCCTGGGCGGTACGACTTGCTTCGGGCCACTGTTCTCTGACTGTGAACTTTGACATGCCTTTCATCGTTTGCAGCACAAGCGTCGATTCTGGCCAATTCTTCCTGCATCTCCCGGATTTCTTCAGTCTGGTCGAGCGGTGCCTCTCCTAGGAAACCAGGACGGCTGCACCGGGAAAGTCTGTGTCTCGTGCAGCTCGGACACTAGCTTGCCGCGGCCACTGCCACCAGGGGAAGCTTTGGTAGCCTGCCAACGCAGCTGCATGATTCCATAGCCTTCCCGATGCATTCAAGCAAGCGACCTCCACTGTTCATCTGCTGAACAGCTCCTGATTCCTGCACGGTAGGTTGAGGGTTCTCCAGAATGCCGAATTTCCAACTCGTGTCCACCCGGATCGCTGATTTCTGTTGAACGAAAACAGTGACAAATCTAACCTAAGTGTGGAGAGAAATGAGGAGTCAGGCGGCTGGCATGTTGACCCGAAGGGCACTGGGACTACCCAGTTTAGTAGGACTGCTGTTCTCCACGGCAGATCCATGCACAGAATGTTGTGCAAGTTGCTGTGGCGGAACTTGCTAGCTTCTTGAGATGGCTTCGACATTCGCTTCCTGGCTCTTTGCATCCTGGCTGCCTAGCTCGATTGCCGATCGTCGTGGAGGAGAAGGAGGGGGAGCGCAGGGAGTCATTGGTGCAATGACAGAAATATTCACAACTTGGAAGGGCTCCCCTCCGAGGCGAATCTGATCCTTGAAGTTTGCAAAAAGCTCCCAATCAAGCTAGTCAAAGTAACAGTCAAAGTATGTCAAAGTCATTTTACTGCTTGAAACTTGCCATGCCCGATAATTGAACCCGTTTAGTGCAGTTGTGTGTAGTTGCTTGATGTTGCTTGGAGTTACTCGCCACTGGAAGCCTTGACGAAGCCAACTTGAATCTTGCCGAGGTCTCTCTTTGAATTTCTCGGTGTGAACTGAAATACTTTGCTCGGATGTCTGGTCGCCTACAGAATTGCCAGTCAGGTTTTTTGTTGATTCGATGTCTTTTCAACCCCAGCACCATACTCTCTCTTCTTCCGCACAGTCAATGACAAAGGGCAAGTTGACGAGCCATCGCGCTTTGCAGCAAAGTGGGTTCACGTCGGTCGCAGCGACACCGTGCTGCAGGAAAACCCTCTCAAAAGCAACTGACAGCTGAGACTCCTCTTTCTCTCTCTCTCCCTCCCTCCCTCCCCCTGAATCCTGCGCAGATGATCTTCGAACCAACATGAGACATAGGTTGAAACTTACAGCGAACATGAACATACCGAAGCCCGTGGCGCTCCTGCAGATTCACCGGCATCCTGCTCTGAGGCTGACTCAGTCCGCTTGCACCGGAGTACTTGCTGTGCTGGGCAACAGCTGGCTTCTGTGTGCTCAATGTAGCGTCCGGCTGCTGCGGCTCGAGACTGCTTGCTTTCGGCTGAGCTTCCAATGGTGCGGCGCTCCTTAGCTGCACATCTGCAAAGTTTTAGGCAGTACGCTCTTTTCGGGAAAGCCATGGCCATGGATCAGTGCCATCCGCTCCATGGAGTTCAGCCGGTCCTCCAGCCTCTCCAAAGCGGTCGCCACGTCTGACAGCGAGAGAAATTGCAACTGGAATCAATTTGCACCCTTGTCAGAACGGTCAGGTCACCCTGTAACGGGCTTGCCCTGCCTAGTGAGGCTTGATCCTGGCTTGGCTAATGCCATGTGCCCTATGGTTTCTCTGTGTCAGCTATCAGGATCCAAGACCTGCAAACCTGAAGTTGCCCCCTCCGTCACAAAGAAATTCCAAGATCGCGCCTGGTGCACGCACGTGTTGCTGCAGGATTGACACATCATCCGCACATACATTACTGCACCTCGGCTGCATTGCTCACTACGCAAGTGCTGCCACGAGTTGGTGCGTCGAATCCCACAGAAAAGCATGATCTAGGTACCGCCTAGTCAGCCAACAAAAACAGGGATGTGTTGCGGTACTACAGTCTTGGCACATCCAACTTCATCAAGCTTATGGAAAGATTGGAGGCAGGAGGCCGGTAGAACGCTTCGACACTGTTTGCATGACAAAAGACTGGTCACGATCCCAGCTCCCAGAAGTCCACGGACCAAGGCCCAAAAGCACCGTACTAGGAACCCTGTAGTAGGGACACGCCTACATAGGCCCAGGCCCCCTGATCAGTGGCTAATCGCTGCCAGCCAAAGGCTGGTCCGGTTCGAGAGTTAAGACCGAGGCCTTGAGCGAATCTTCTCTGCGTACACTGCTTGACTTCGAAAAGCCGAAGACTACCAGCACCAAAGACCCATTCAATCGCATGCACCCAACACATTGCGCCCAAATCGTACTACATCCAAACCTAGAAGGGGAGGAGCATCAGTTAGTCAGTTAGTCTATAGAACAGAGAGCAATATACAACATCTCCGGCTTGAAGCGACATTCGGTCCATGAGCCGAACGAGATTTTGAAGCCGTGGCTCTCGACCCCTAGCAGAGGAGGCAGAAGCAGAAACAGTGCTCCGCGAGACATTGCCAAAGTCGCACCCTGGTGTCACCACTTTCTCTCTGCGAATACCGCCTCACACTTCGCAACGAGAGAGGCCCTGTCCTATCTTAGGGACCTCAAAACGATATAGGCATAAACATGTTAACAGGGATTTTCCTACCTTATTGGCTTCATTATAAGCGGGTTTATATGGGATATCCTTATCCCATTTTTTGCCTATTTGCTTTTTCGGGCCTTACTTACTATCGGTTCAGTTGGCAAACTGCTGCGGGCGGACAGGCTGAAAGTACAGTAGCAGTAGCAAGAGCGTCTCAGCATGGCAAGGCCAGGCCAAAGAAACAGCGAGATCCTGGAGCACCAGATGTAGACAGCCACGTGGAAAATCAGTGCCGCATAAGACTTGTCACGCGCTCGAATCTCCCGGGCCCCGCGCACGAACAGGCGAACACATCCTGTGATGGAACTTGCCACCCGTTGGGCTCCTGTAACCATAGCATGCTGAGCAGTCCAACTACTGCTGGGCGAGTGTGCATCTTGCTAGGAGCTAGTGGGTCTGCCGGCACCATGTTGGGGAAGGGGATTCGGCTCTTCTCATTCAGCACTAATCGCTTCCCACGTTTATTAACCCCCCCCCCCCTAATATTAAAACTGCCACCCCCCGGAATTTTGCGGCTTCGGGCCCACAATTGAAAGTTAATTAAAAACATTAGGGGGGGGCCTAGGATTGTATGAGCTTTAATAGAGCAAAGACCACAGTAGTACTAAACCGAAAGGACCGGGGCTGTAGGGTTTAGGGGCTTAGAGCTGAGGGCTTAGGGTTTAAGGCTCTAGCGCTCAGGGGTCAAGGGCTTAATTAATTAAGACTTAGGGTTTAAGGCTTTAGAGCTTAGGGGTCCCTAAACCCTAAACCCTCTCTCCCTCCCTATGCAGCCGGAACGGCTGTGTAGGAATCGGTCGTTGTGTCTGACT